TGGGTATTAGTTACGCAAATATTGATGTGTAGCTTTGGCCTGTTCGCTATCAATTGAAATCAGGAAATCAATAGACTTAATAGCTCCTCATTACCCAGTTGATGCATTTGCAGAGCTGAGCTGAGCACTGTCAGTGAGCGATCAATTCGGTCACCAGCTCTTACATGGTCACCACTGGGATGGGCTCCATGCTGCTGGCTGTGTGCTGGGCACAGTCCTTCCCAACCCCCAGTGGGGCAGCCCAGAGCTGGGGCAGTGGGGCAGCACGGCTCCTGCATGCTGGGGAACAAAGGGGGCTGCACAACTTGTGTACCCTGAAGGTCGCTCCTCAGGTGGCTGTGGCACTTAGAGTGGTTTCATTGTAGGTACGAGCCCTTACCAGGTGGAAAATGATGCAACAGTGTGCTAGTTTGTCCAGTTGTGAGCTGTCAAGTTTTAAAGTGAATCTAAGTGAAAGGTAGGCAGCCTTGCAAAGGTGGGCTGGATTTTGGGAGAGAGGCATTCCTTTGCATTCATACATGTTTGTAATGTGCAGGACTTGTTGTAAAGGCAGGATGTGTGATGCCTTGTTGATGCAGTGCGATTCTATGATGAGCACACAGCAGCTCCTTCCGATGCACTCTGTGTCCATACTGTGTATGGATGGGGTCTGAGCAGATCCTGCCTAAGTTCCATGCTGCCCTGGATCTTCAAAGAGCCTCTGGGTAATGGAAACCTACTGGCATGGTAAGGGATGGATGCTTCCCTAGTGTGGTGGGCAGTCCAAGATCGCTGAGCTATCCGGTGATGCAGCTAAAAGGACCTTTTAGACTCAAACTGCAGTCACACAGAAAGATCCACGTTTGGTCCAAGTCCACGTGCACATCATTGCACTGCATCTAAAAGTGCCAAAGTTCCAAGCACCGAGCAGCAAAGTGTTTGCTGGTGAATAATTTTTAGTCTGGTGTTATTGTGACGAAGTTGTGTCATTCACTTTAAGTATTTTTCTTTCCTGGAAATCAGTTATTAAAATCAAAGAAAAAAATCCAGACACTCGGTAAACATGTAAGATGAGTGAAATACAGGCTAACTTAATAATATTTAAGATGATATACGTAATTATAACAGAAAGGTCAGGGTAGGTGGCAGTTTTCCCAAGTATATGGAGTGTCAGAAAAATCCCCAAAGCGAATGTTTTAATTGAGTTATGTTTTCTTTCCTTCGTGCTGAAGCATTAAGGCATTACCCCATTCCTGGGCTGCGCTCCTATAATTTCACGTGGCAAAATTCCCAGCTCTGCATTTTGACAGTGAAACCACATCATGTGTAGGCTCCTTCCAGGAATGAAATACAACTTTGTGTTTGTCTCCAAATCATCACTTGCTTTTTCATTTTAAACCAAAATATATTTAATGTACAGGAAAATAAATTTTACAAGGGCGAAGATGAAGCGAACGCCATTTCTGAAGTGTGAGAGATCTGTGAAAAGCAGTGAGCCAAACAGCTGCGACAGAAAGAAGGGAGAAGTGGATGGAGGAGAGCCAGTGAGACACAGGCAGACTGCGTGGGGTGGGGTGGCCCCGTGGGAGCAGCAGTGGAGGCTGTGGGTCCCCGGCTCCCCCCTTTCACACCCTGCCTCCGGGGCTCGTACTGAGGGAGCAGGGGTTGGCAGAAGGGGTCGAGCAGTGTTGTTGCCCACTTAGATTTGGTGTTTGTGGGCAGAGTGCAGCTTACAGCAGGCAGTGCCAACAGAAGCAGAACACTGGGCAGGAGCCTTTTAGCCTTCGTTGGCACCAAGGCCTCCTGCCAACAGGAGAGGGCCCTGCGGGGCTCCAGGCTGGAAAGTAGGGAAGGTGACCTCCCTATACCTGTTCCCCAGAGGGGATGTGTATTAGAACTGTTTTCTCCAATAGCAGTTGGAAGGAAGTAGGTTTTTCCATTTCTGCAGAAATTGAGGGGAAAACGTGGAGTTAAGCATTGTGACCTTTAGGTGAATTATTGCAAGTTTTTTGTAGGATCTCTGCTTCACTCAGTGTTGCTTCATCTCGGACAGCCTTTCCTTAGCAGGAGCCAGTAACTCACTTCTCATTACTCAGTGTGCAGATCTGTACTGCTGCTATCCAGGTATCATCTTAGAGTGTTGTCAGGAACTTCTGCCCAGGCTGCTTTAGGGCTCACCAGGCTCTGAAGGGCCGCGTGAGTTGGTGCCTTTGTGATGGTGGTGTGCAGTGGGTGCCCGTTGGCCTTGGTGGGATGTGAAGAAGGGAGCAAGGACAGAGGTACAGCGGGCATCAGGGGGAAGAGCTTGAAAGCAGAGCACGCTCCTCAGTGCAATGGATTTTATCCGATGCTTTCTGTACCCCAACACAGCTCCATCTTTCATTTAGCCACTTACTTTGTATTCGGTGTTTGAGGGTAACCAGGGTGGTTCTCACTCCCGTGCACTTCCCCTGACGTGGTGCTGAGGATCAATAGGTGCACTGGGATACGAGCGTGGCGGTCACTGCAGCAGCCGGCAGCACTGCGCAGCGCTGGGAGCTGCTCCAGCACAGAGCTCAGAGCACAGCTTGTGCTGCCACTGCTGGTGGTACCTTGTGCTGGGCAGGGCCCAGCTCTGCTCCCTTGGTGCCTGCAGTGGGGAGCGGTGGGTGTGGAAATAGTTTTATTTGTCTGAAAGCCTTCGAGAGACTCGGAGAAGTTCAATATAGACAAATTGTTACATATTAAGCGTATGCGTAATATATCCACTCGTTAGTTTGTACATACAATACAGGGGTTATTTGGGATGCAGATACATAAAAGATAGAAGAACCCAGTAATTGCCTTTAAGATCAGAGCACAAAGCATTACCTTGGATTTTACAAGGCCAGCGAGCAACAAAAGAGCAGTAATTTATGAGCTCAGCGTAAAAGAATAGCATAATTGCATTAAAAATTAATGCTAATGAACACTAAAATGGGGAAGGTGGTTATGATGAAAGTTTGTATTCATCTTCCCTGGTTTGAATGATGGCTAGTGGCTTGATTAATGGCTTAATTTCTATCAATTAGCAGGGAAAAATCTCCTACGAGACAAGGGTAAATTGCGCATCGAATTACATATCTTGCTTTTGTGCTGAGAAAAGAGAGCTGCGTGCCTCCGACGTGGGCTGCAGTGACAAATGCAGCGTGCCCTGCTCTGGCTGTGGGGGCTCAGGTGGGGGCACTGGCTGCACTGCCTGCCCCACTGCCTGCCCCCCACACCCTGCCCAGCACCGCTGCCTGCCCCTGCACAAGCCCACCTTGGCTCTGCCCTGGGTGAATGCCTGAGGAGGCTGCGGAGTTCAAGTGGGCTTGGGAAATGGGGGGGGAGGTGAATGTGCATGCAGAGCATAGAGCAGAAATCCAGGTGTTCCCAGGTCATGTATTTCTGGATTCCTCGTTGTTGTCTGTTTGATTTTACCCCTGGTACTTCTGTTACCAAAGAGAGATGCTGCTGTGCAACCTTGTTTACTATGAAAGGTAGATTATGTGGTCATAATATGTTAAAGCAGTGCAATGTAAGCACTCATACTTACAGTTGGACGTGAAGAACACAAATTAGCATTAAAACCTCTCCCTGGCCACAGCAGCTCAGTGTGGAGCCTTGCCTGGGGATGCTGCCACTTTGGGTGGAGCCCTGGGTAAAGCCAGGGGATGGGGATCTTTCTCTGCAGTGGTGGTGTTTGCTCTGCTGTCTGTTGGGGTCTTCTACCTGTCAACTCGTGAGAAAAAGAACAAAATAAATTGCAACTCTTCTTCTGGAATGGCCTATCTGTAAGAGGCGGCCCCAACGATCCCGACGCAGTAGTTAGCTTGTTTTGCTCACGGTAGCACAGTAGAAGGACTTGCTGGGCAATGAGGTAGTATTGATTTCTTTTTTGTCTGTAGCCTCTCAGCTTTCTGACTCCATTATTCTTGATTTTACTATGAAATACATATCCTTTCTACTGACATCTGACAAACAACACATGGAAGTCATTTTATCTACCAATAATGTGTTTGTCAAAAAATATCACGCACTAATGGGTTATGCTTCCTCCAGTCCATTTTCCCAAGTTAATGTCACTGATGTAATTCTCAACATTTAGTGATTTTTGCCCTTAATAATTTGTCATCCCCACTGGTCTGAGTAAGACCCGGACAGAACGCAGTGACAGGCAGAGAGCAGCTGATCCCAAATCCATTCTCCTGTCTGTATGGCTGACCCCCACTTCCAACGCTGTGACTACCAAGTGCCCCCAAGCTGGAGCACCCTGGTGAAGGAGGATTTCCTCTCTCTGGCAAGGCATTGGCCTGTTTGTTTTTACACTTCCTATGGGACCGTCAGAAATCTTTTTTCAAAATAGAATTCCTCAGCAGCAGGCCAGCAGGGCTCTGAAACACGGGCCGAGATAAAAGCGTGCAGTGAAAAAAAGGAGTGAAGGTTCAGTTGTCACTACAGTCAGACATAGAGGTAGAGATGAGATTAACTGAGCTGCAAATCTGAAGAAGCACAAACTGAAAGTAAAGTAAGTACTCTTTTTGGTCAGATGTATTGTAATGAGCAGGCAGCACAGAGGTGATAACTTAGCTTGCAATGAGAACACAGGGCAAGGCTCGTTGCTGTGGACATCCACAACTGAAGCCAAACTCCCCTCGATACCAGCAGAAGTAGTTGTGCTACTTCATGCAGATTGGGCTCCCCTGAAGTATTGGCTCTGGCCACTAATCCTCACCTGCAGGAAGTTCTCATGCTATAAATCTAGTGACTGTACTGCAAGGACTTCTCTCAAAATTCTTACATTAGCATCTTGAATGTTGGCATGCATTTCAGCAGTGCCAACTCACTGTTGTTAGCTGTACTAAAGAAGAAAGGTTTTGTGTCTTCTTTGTAAAAGAATCTTGTAGGCTGCATTGCAAGCAGTGTATGCTGTGGTAAAATACAGTGAGTGCATTGCTTTGGCACAGCATTTATTGCAGGCTTACAGTAATGTATACTGACACTACACCTTCTTTTTGTAGACCAAGCCACCCTGGTAGAGCAAGTGAAACGAGTGAAAGAAATTGAAGCTATTGAAAGTGACTCCTTTGTTCCACAGACATTCAGATCAAGTAAAGAAGTCAAAAAGGTAAGTTTGCAAAGTCCTTTCTTGGTGCATAATCCCTTCCAAGTCAGGTGGGAGCTACGCCGTGAATACAATTGATGAAGGAGCGTCAGAGCCGACCTTCCTTAATGCCACCACCGGAATCAGCTTTTGGACAAGGACTCTCCTATGTTGCTGTGTGGGTGAAGGAAGGATACCTTTAAGCATGCAACAGTGTCCATGAAATGCAGCTGCTTTGATAGTGTGACTGTGCTGCACAACTCTGATTTTAAAGTCTTATAAAATTGTATGCAGTCATGAAGATGTTTTTAAAGAAAAGCAGAAGAATTAAAATGCAAAAGTAATCAGGCATGTTATGTTGTAGTTAAAGGTAGAGATCAGTATTTTTTATTCTGCTTAGCTGGAATCAGAGTTCAAGCCCATGTTTACTCACTGAAACAAAATGGCATTGTTTTCAGACAGCTTTTGAAAACCTAATGTGAGACGTCCACATTTCAGGACTTTATCTGCATTTGGCTGCCAGCTCTTCTGCAAACTCAGGCCCTGCTTTGGAAGCACACAAACAAAGGGTTGCTTCAGTTTTCCCCCCTGACAACAAAGCATTTTGAATCACCGCTGTGTGCTTCCCTGAGAACATGCATTTTCTTTTCAGAAATATCCGAGAAGCTCACAGCGCTTCTTCAGAAAGCGATCCCACCACCAAAGCTCTGCCACTGCCCTTGGCAGTACCTTCTTCCACTCTGTGTGTCTGTGAGTCCATGCCCAACCCGTGCATGCTGAGAAGCATTCGCAGGAGGATCTTTCTGTGGGCATGTGCTGCAGTTCAAAGAAGGCTGAATGCTCGGCTAAGATGCTGTCATGTGTGGGAGTCCGAGGATGAAATGCTCACTGTGTTTCTTTCTTTTTAGTCAGTAGAGCCTCCCGAACTAAAGTACGAACCTGTAACTATAGGAGCAGGATCTGTCGAAGCATCTGCCCCCGAAAAAGAAACAGTGCCTGCCAGTATTCCTACTGCCATCAAATACCAGGATGATAATTCTTTAGCACATCCAAATGTAAGTGTGGTGATATTTTTCTTTCAGAACAACACGGCCCATTGAATGTGGCCAGGTTCAAGAGCCCTCACAACAGCCGTGCCATGCTGCTCATCAATTAGTCTGTGGTCTGAAGAGTATTTACCAGTGGGCCACTCACTGGCTCAGAACAGATTACTTTCCTTGCATAATCCAACGGAGGAGAATTACAAACAAGGAGCTTCCTTTGGCTAAAAGACAAATGGATACAAGTGAAACATTTTTGTTTTGTATTTTCACTTGCATTTTAGCTGCTGTTTTTTTTTTTTTTTTTTTTTAAGAATTAGGATGTTAAAAATGATTTGCCATAATTAAACTAATGCAAATTGCAAATAATGGATATGGCTACCAACAGTGTGAGACCACCAACAGATTCACTGTTTTAGGGGGAGATTGAAGCTAGACCATGTTGGCTTTCAAAAACACTGATGTCTCAACCTTGACTTCTGTATTTATGTCAGTATTTTGACCCCTGTATGTAGCTGGGCTTCTTAGCACTGACGTTTCATGTATGTATTTCAACACGTTATAACAAATTGAAGTTGTGCCTACTTTTGTTCTTCTCCCCTTCATCTCTCAGCTGTTCATTGAGAAGGCAGAAGCAGAAGAGAAGTGGTTCCAGAGGCTGATTGCTCTGCGGCAGGAAAGGCTGATGGGCAGTCCGGTGGCCTGAGCAAACTGCTGCAACCATCCAGTATGAGTTCTGTGAGCGCTGCGAAATCCCACCGTCAGACTGTTCTGTTTTTGTCTTTTGAGAGGATTTTAACAGTCAGTAGGAGTTGTACAGAGAATAAATATTTCATCTGAATACACATAACGTTCCATCCTGTGCTTTTTCCCTAGCTCATTGCTGCGTTACTTGGGTTGCTGAGAAGGGAAGGCTATGATAGCCGTGTAATTTGCTTTTTTTTAATACTGGATTCCCCTTGGGTGCAGACTTGACAGCCCAAGGAGACATAATTTTATACTTCCCAATCCCCCCAAAATATATAACCATGTAGCAGTTTAAAGATAAATGAAAAAAAATAAGACTGTCAAAGAAAGTTCAGATTTACCAATGCTCAGACGGTTGCAGTACAAATGATACCACCCTGGGCCATTAGATCTTTTGCAGCTGAAGAGGATTCAGGGCAAATTATATTGCTGTTATCTCTTCTTCCTTCCCCTCAGCCGTACGGGAGCAGTGTTTGAATCCTGAACATCTGTGGGCAGTCTCATTGCCGAGGGGCCTCCTGAATTGATGCTCTCGCCCGCCTGCCTCTCACCTCCTACCTCGCTTTTGGTGGTCTTGAGTGGAAAGAAATGCTGTTCCCAATCTTCCTGAGTGTCTACCCACTGCTGTCAGCATCTTGGAGTTTATTTAAGGAAAAACGATGTTATTCTTTTAAAGAAACGTGTTACATTTTCAGCAGTTCTCAATAGCTGTATTTCCTACGCAATTTTAAGCGTATTAAAATGATTGATATGCAGTAAAAGACAGTTTTCTCTGCATTCTTCATGGGCAATAATATACAGATTGTGTCTATTGATGCAGACCTTTGTCGAAAAGAATAATGGCATGCAGAGGGGCTGTTCTCAGTGTCTGAAGTTTCCGTTTGTCCAAGCGTGTCTTTAAAATAATGCAAGATGAGTCAAATTGGACCGTATCAAATAAATATAGTTACCAAAAAAATCTGTCCACCATCTACCTGAATCCGAGAGAGAAATAACATAGGAACGTATTTATTTTGGGCTGTCTAGCAGATCTGTGAAAAAAACATTATATTGGTAGGAGACTGAAATAAGCCTGCAACTTCTGGACATAAATATCTCAGGGGAAATTACCTACATCAGCTCTCCTTTGTGAATGAAGAAATTAATAAGGTTTGTGTTTGTTTGGGTTTTTTTAAGTTTACTATTCTTAAGTGGAGGGAGGAAGATTCTGGAAATGTACTTGGATCATCTTCTTTTTGTTGAGATCATTGATGTAATGAGAAAATGTATTAAATTTGCACTTCACACATTTTCAATTTTTCATTATGAATGGTGTGGGTTTTGCTTGATCCCACATTAAAAGGGTGATCTGTCTGCAAGAAAAATCGGGAAGAAAAAAGTTTCCCTTCCTCCATTTCAGCATTTTCAAGTAGCAAATATTTGTTATTGTCCTTTATTCTAATCACCAGCTGTGTGTCTTTTATAGTAAATAAAAATAGTTTGACCTCCATAGAAGGTGCAGGATTAAATTCCTCTTTACCACAGATTATTTCCAGTAATTCTGGTATTTTTATTTGATGCAAAATTGTTCTTATTTCATTTGCATCCCCTGTAGGTTATTAAGAAAATTGTACACAGCAGTCTAAGTGAGCAAGGCTTAGTGGGAGTAATGAGGTTTAGCTTCTAATCAGTCAATAACTATGTTTGTCCAGCAGGTCCATACTGAAGGAGAATTGTGAGCAAGATCTGGAAGGAAAAAGTGTTTAGATCCTCTGAGATGAGAAGAAAGTTGAAGATAAAGTCCTGTACTGAGGTATGCCAAACATAACTTGGATGCTGAACGATGTCAAGATGATTTCTATCACCTTCTGCCCCCTTCCCAACTCCTGTCTTGAACGTTCGTTATGCATACTTGACGTTTATGGAGTTGTTGGTGCTGGGAGAAGGGCTTGGCAGGACTGGGTTGTAAACTAGATGTGGTCTGTTACAAATTAGCCAGTGTCCTCCTTGTTAGGAACCTGCAAGTTCATACAACACAGATGTTTAAAGCTGTCTAAACCCAGTCTGTGATGCTCAAGTGTGTGATTAATGAAGGTAAGATTTCACTTGGAGTTATTACCAATCTTAGCAATGCCAGGTGTGGTATCTTGCAAGTGAGTTTGAATCATGCCATGGATTCCCTTGCCGCATACAGTGAGGCTGGATGTTCCAACAGTGACCCCTGTGATGTCAGTGCCCTCCTGCAGGGTTTGTTTGCAGTGAGTGTCGGTGCTTTCCGAAGCTGAGTCCTACCAAAGAGGTGCTGGATCAGAACTCTGCCCTCAGAACCTGCTGTTGCTGATTTTACAGCTTAAACTTTCAGCAAAAATAGGAGCTGTTCCACTGAGTTTGCTCCTGCAAAGTAAAGGTTGTGTAAGGCCAGTCTGTAGGGTTATAAGTGTAACTGTTTACTACAGCACTCCTGATTCAAGCTGTGTAAACTCTCTGTTTCCTTATTTTGCTTTTACTTGAATAGCATCCTGTGATAAATTATTCATTTTCCTGTCAAAGCTAGACAGATATTTGAGTATCAGAAGTATGGAAGGGGGCAGCAACATTACAGACAAACTCGATTCTATAGCCAGTGTTGCAGGACTAAACATAATTTTGGAAAACCTACTGCTTAAAATTACTTTGGCTTTGGATGTATTTTCAAAGGGTTGTGTCCAAATACATGTGCACTCCATAAGCTCCACATGTGGGGCATTTTTGCTTGAGGAAAACATAAATGTATTACCTAATGGGATAACCAGATACAGTTTTTATTAAGTGTGTCATAATACAGACATGAAACTCATCTTAATGTGCACAGATTAATCACCATGGTCCTGGAAAAATGCAGTGCTGTCTTTCAACCCACGTGTTTCTTGAGCCAGAGAAAAAAATCATGCCTTCCTACAATAATCCTGCTTTCTTAGCATCTTTGCTTCTGAGGTTTTCCAGTGTAAACCATTGCAATTTATGACTCTTACCTATTAAGACTGTATTTCTTCTTGCTGTATTTTCCACTTTATTCCATCCTCCTGGTGAACGTGAATGGATTCCTGATTAGAAAGGGAAAGAAGCGGTTGTTTGTTCACCACCCAACTCAATGTTGGGTGCATTGTGTCCTTAGAGACATCTGTGCTAAGGTTTTGTCATTCAGGACCTGTGGCAGCGTGTCTCAGGTACAGTTGGTTGCAACACAAAGTACCAAACTACCTTAAATCTGACTTAGACAAATCATGTGTAGGAGTGAAAAGATAATGCTGTAACTTGATCTATTCTGACTTCTGGTAGTCAGCAAAGACCTCTACCCCTAGAAATTACATTAGCAAACTCATTTCACTTAGCCTGCCGAACAGCCACCATCAATTAAAATCAAGCCGGGCTGATTTTGATTTGATAACTTTCAGGTAAAATGTTCACTAGCCCTTGAGTCATCCGGCATGTCCACAACTATTTTTTTTTTTTTTTTAATTATAATAATTGCTTGAAAATCAGCTGCGTTTACTTTTAAATTGTGGTTACAATACTTTAGACAGATTTCTGTAGCTCTGACAACACGGCTGGCCAGGAGATCAAATTTTGCTACTTCTGCTTAAACCTCTCAGATATGAACAGGACTGAGTGGTCCTGAAGGCCATTTTTGCATCAGTAACCTAAAACCAACCTTCCCGATGATCACAGTTTTCCATTTGTCATGTTACCAGAAGGAAGTTATTTTTAGCAGAGATCCTTGAACTCTAGAAACCTGTTTTAGAAGAGATCAGCTCGAACCCATGACTTAATCCGCCTATGCCACAAGGCTGCAGTGATTTCAAATTGTAGCAGTAATAATAAGCGATGCTATAAGTAACAGTGCTCCAGAATTTAAGCTATTCACCATTTGACATGATTTGCTTTTTCTGTTCCTGATTGTTCCCTGCCCTCTTTGTCTTACTCCTTTGCTGAGACCTAGGGGAAAAAAATAGAGGTGGCTGGGCCAGATTGTATGACACCAGGGAGCAAGACTTAGGCTCTGAGTCACTCTGGAATTGCTGCTCCAGGACAAGATGTACCGTGATACTTCACTCCTTCTGATGGAAACAGGAGTTGAAGCTCAGCCCAGAAAGGGGCCGAAGGAGTTCAGCTCCCCACAGTAGCACAGAGCTGCATTTCACTGCTAGCTGGGCTCCCTCCCAGCATGGTGCGTGCACTTTGCAAGCTGAAAATTATTTTTCTAGTGCGATTTAAACCCAGGTAAAAATGGAAATCACTACTTGGCTATTGGTTTTGCTTCTTTAGAAAGGCAGTATGGATTAGGACTGCATGGCATAGTCTCGCATTGGTGACATGAGGAGCATCTCAGCCCTTGGGCACGTTTTGGGGTGCAGTATTCTGAAAACGCTGCAGCTTGAAGGTGCTTTCTCATGGTTTTGAGCTGCTGCTGTGAGAGCCTTGTTCCCACTAGATGTCTCTGCAGCCCTGAGCAGCTGCCATACGACCCACGGTGGCCATATAAATAAGATGCATGAGGCCATATAAACAAGAGTACGCAAACTATCTTTGCCTTTTTGTCTCCTACCTGCAGCTGCAGTTAGGGTAATCAGACAGAGCAGTTTGCCTCATCGCTTGCTGGTGCCTTAGAATCTAAATCTTGTCACACAAAAAATACCCATCAAACAGGTAAAATCCTCCGTATTTTGTGTATTCCCTGGAGCACCACGCAGGAAGAAGCAGCGTGTTCACCCCATCCCTTGCCAGCACAAAGCACTGACCTGGGCCGGGCAGCCAGCGCTGCTGGAGGCACAGCATGGCTGTCCCCATCCTCTGGGCTGCCACTGCTCACATCTGCTGCCTGCAGCGCTGCGTCCCCCCATCGCAGAGCTGAAGGGAAGACATAAACAAATTTCATAGTTGTTATTAGTGGAAACTGAACGCAGCCAACATTTGTAAAAATGTCAGATGTGGTTTTGGATACCTTCTTGGTGAATTTCAGAGTGTTTTTCTGTAGGCTATGGGCGTATTATTTCAGTATTCATACCAGTTACAGAGCTGGGTGACTATGTGAATTGATGACACATTTAAATAAAATATTAATGTAAATGTTATTACATGT